AAAGCACCTACTTGGAGCAGGCTTGGCGGAGCACAGGGACCGCGGTTCAATCCCCCAGCACCACATGCCAGCCAGCCACACCCCCTGGTGGGCTGAGCTGGCCACACACACACACACACACACACACACACACAAATAAATAAATATTTAAAAAAAAAGGAATTGAAATCAGGACCTTGTGCTTGCCAGGCAGGTGCTTATGCCACTGAACTATCTCCCAGCTGTTTTTATTTTATTTTTTTAATTTATTTATTTTTCATGTGGTACCAGGGATTGAACTGAGGACCCCGTGCTTGCCAGGCAGGCGCTTATTCTACTGAGCTATCTCTCCAGCCCTGTTTTTATTTTTATTTTATTTTTTTTGGCAGAACCGGGGATTGAACTCAGGCCCTTGCACTTGCAAGGGAAGCGCTTATTCCACTGAGTCATCTCCCCAGCCCCTGTTTTTATTTTTTGATACAGGGTCTTACTATGTAGTTCAGACTGGACTTAAACTCACTATGTGGCCCAAACTGGCCTCAAACTTGCAGTAATTCTCCTATCTTGGCCTCCCAAGTGCTGGAATTACAGGGGTATGCCAGCACCCCTGGCTGTCTTTTCATATCTTTAATAAAACTGCTACCATATCCTCGGATCAAAAAAAACTGCCACCATAAAAAAATGTCTAAAGGATATTCTAGCTCTTGTGAACTCAGGCCCTTGCGCTTGCCAGGGAAGCGCTTTATCCACTGAGCCATCTCCCCAGCCCCGTGTTCTTGAATTCTGTCTGCCCCTCTTTCCTACCAAAAGTTCCTTCCTCCTAAAAAAGTTATTCCTAGGCTAGAAAATAAAGAACTCCTAAAGTGGCCTTGAGCTTACATTGTAGCCCAGGCTGGTCTCAAACTCAAAACGATCCTCCTGGGGGCGGGGCTGGCTGGCATGTGGTGCTGGGGGATTGAACTGCAGTCCCTGTGCTCTGCTAAGCTTGTTCTAAGTAGGTGCTTTAGACCACTGAGCCATCTCACCAGCCCAGGAAATATTTATTGAGGGGGACAGATTCCCTTTTATCCTGGGAATCACACCCAAGGCCTAGGGTATGCATGAAAGACAAGTGTCCTGCAACTGAGCTACACCTCCAATCCCTCACTTTTTTTTTTTAATTTTATTTATTTATTTATTTATTTTTGTGTGTGTGTGGCCAGTTCAGCCCACCAGGGGGCGGGGCTGGCTGGCATGTGGTGCTGGGAGATTGAACCTCGGTCCCTGTGCTTTGCTAAGCTTGTTCTAAGTAGGTCCTTTAGACCACTGAGCCATCTCACCAGCCCCAACCCCTCACTTTTTGCTCTTGGATCCCATGGTTAATTTCCCTGGGCCTCACTTTCCTAATGGTGGTGTAACAGTGCAAGCACTTGTGGCAAAGAGTTCAAAAAAATGCTACTGTTTTCCAGCTTTCCCACTTTCCCTCCCAGGAATGCCCATGGGCCCTGGATTATGGGCTGTGCAGGACCACAGTTCTCACAGGTTTTCCCTGAGCTGTCCCTCCAGCTCTGCTAGTGACAGGGTATGGATTTTATCTGAAAGAAAGAAGATAGTTTTCCCCAATCTAATACTATCAAATATTTTTTTTTAAAGAATCATTTTCTTTTTTTTTAATTTATTTATTTTTATTTATTTGAGAGAGAGAGAGAGAGAGTGTGTGTGTGTGTGTGTGTGGTGTGTGTGTGTGGTGTGTGTGTGGCCAGCTCAGCCCACCAGGGGGCGGGGCTGGCTGGCATGTGGTGCTGGGGGATTGAACCGCGGTCCC